GAATCTGATCGAACATTTCATTTAGCTCCTCTTTTGATCTAATTTCCACACTTTCGCAACATTGTTCTATTAAAGAATCCAACACCTGTTGCATATACTCATCCTCCAAGCGATCAGCAGTAGTATGATTCATCATTGTCTCCAATATATTGTCGCTAAACATAGAGGTGGGTGTGGGAAAGGCTTCCTGCATTGAACGTAAATATTTCTCCATAAGAGCCGTACGATAGCCCGTATGAAATAGTATATCCTCTAAATGATATATCTTAACATCATACCCCTGGCCGGGTACATTTAATACTGGACAATTATCAAAATAGTTTGATAATAATTGTATGTCCATGGTAGCCGACATAAGTATCACTTTGAGATCTTTATTTAGCTTTAACTGTTCCTTTATGGTGATCAATGTAAAATCGGTATTTTTATCACGTTCATGGATTTCATCGATTATAACATGCGAGACCTTGCGGAAGAGATCACGTACATCGGCCATTATGGAACGTAAAAAGCAGCCAGATGTTGTGTAGATTAAATTGGAAGTCTTTTTAACGCGACCTTAATGAATAAGTATTTTATGTTATATTAATATGATTTGTATATTTTTAGTGTTACTTACTTTCCATGCGTATTTGGTAGCCGACAGTTTCTCCTAAAGGTTCTCCTCTTTCTTTTGCTACACGATGTGCTACCGAGACTGCTGCTACTCTTCGGGGTTGTGTCACTACTATGCGACATGGTCGATTACGTCGTGTAGCTTCATTTAATATGTATTGAGGAACTTGTGTAGTCTTGCCAGAACCAGTTTCACCATTTATTATAAAAACCTAAAAATAAAGACATTTTGAAAATAAAAGCTCTGAACAACAGTCCAGTCTATAGTCCTAATATCGACTAATGGCCACTCTATAGTATGGACAATTACCCAAAGTATATTTAAAAATAGCCCCATATTTAGTCAAAGCAATAGCCCTCTTTATTGTTTAGACAATATTTCAGTATATACTCTATATTGTGACCAATAGTCAAGACTATAGATTGGCCTAAGTTTAGACTTTAGAGTGGACTATAGATTATATCGAGATATTCTCTAGATTATAATCTACAGAATAAGGAAAGAATCAGAAAATTTTGATAATTTTAATCAAGATGTCTATACAAATCAATACCCAGCGTCCAATACTTACATTATGTTGCTTCAACATCTGATGCAACTCTCCTTGATAATGATATATCGGCAATTCCTGTTTATCCCGAAACAGTTCATTACTAATGCGTTGAGCTCGTGGCGGAATCATACGCGGACCCAAGGCAACCGATATTGAATCACTTCGTAAATTTCTATATCGATGTGATGCATTAGGATTTGATTGAACAATAACCTGATTGGTTACCAGTTGTGTTTGTATTGTTGGCAGAAGACTCTGGAGTACTGCTCTAGTGGCAGCTGACATATTAAGAGGACGAACATCACCCAAAGTTGTCAGGCGTTTACGCCGACGTACATGCAACTCGCGATTATTCTTACTACCATAACTTTGAGTCTTTAGGCCCAGACGTGCGGCAAATTGGTGCATATACTTGCGTTGTATATTAGAGAGACCTTTAAAGACAATTTCATCCTCACTGCCGGCCAGGAAATCGGAAATTTTCAATTGTAATGGTAAACGTTCACTTTCGGGCATTTTATGGCTTTCGCGTTGATTCCTGCTGGAGCCACCTCCATCGATGCCGGCTGCTTTCTGACGATGTTTTTTCGTATTTGTTGACATTCTTTTTTCCTCTTTTTTCTATCGTTTTTTGGGTAAGAGGTTGTCGTGTGTGAGTGTTAAATTTTAGTAAAAATTTCCTAAGCAGCTTGTTATTTGATAATAAACTAAAATACTTGTATTGTTTCACATGCGTAACACTATTTCAATTCATTGGTATTTTATTCTTAAATGTATAAATTTAAAGTTTCTTTTACAAAATTTCTCTGACAAAACGCAAACTTTCTGCAATGAAAAAATCAAGACGAATAAAAATGTCAAAAATTACAGATGTTGTGTGAGAGTGTTATATGAAAGCTGAGTTTTGTGAAAATGTTGTGGTGTAGTGTTTATTATTGTGGTGGGTAAGGTATTAACAGTAAGATGTTAGGCGGTTAACAGTTTGTTTTTATTTTGTTCATAAAAATGGAAAATTGTATAGTTTGCTTAAAAATAACAAAATTTAAATCCATTTATTAGCTTGCACAAACAATTAGATTTATTATTAATAATAATTGAATTAAAAAATGTTAATAACTTAAACACTTCCTGTAGTTAGCTTAATTTTTCAGCACATAACAGTAACTTCCGTTGACCGGAAGGAAGTATTTTACATAATTAATTAGTTTTGGAAGATTTTATATGAATCTTTATTTAGTCAATATTTTTATTTTCAAAATATATTTTCATTAATAAATCGTTTATAAAAAAATATTTTTACATTTGTGTAACTAAATAATATTTATTTTATTAATTTTATTACATTACATCAAAATAAAAATATAAAGTATGAATATCGGAAAAACTTATAAAAACGTACATTTGAAAAGACCGTTATTTATATGGTTTTCCTTTTTAACATTTGTTTACTCTCTATCTCTCTCACTTAAGTTCAACAAGTCTCTCTTTTCTAAAGCCACCACTTCCGTTAGCTTTTTTTTTACCACAAAGTCAAAAAGAAGAAGAACTGCGCGGCGTCCTGTAGAAAAAAAAAAAAATTATTGAAAATTGCAAAAATAGTTAGAATTTTTTAAAATTGTTCAGTATTTCAAAGTGTAGTGTGAAAAAAGTGTAAAATTATTAATAGTGTTAAAATAAGATAAAATATTTTGCAAGTTATAAAGAATTTAGTGTTTTTGGAATAAAATTGCTCAAAGTGTAAGTGCTGTTCCAAGAAATTTTTTAGTATAAACTTTCGGACTGGTAATTTTTGATAAAAATTAAAATTTTTTGATAAATTTCACATTCTGTTGTATTGCATTAAAGAAATATTGAAATCGTTCGCATAAATCTTTTGTTTTGTTCGGTTTTGTTGTGTGTCGACTTATTGTCCCTGAGTTAAAAAAATTCCGAATAAGACTACTAGGGACACATTTACATACAACCGTAAACATACACAATTTTCGTCGTGTTACAATATTTCAATACTTCCACTTTAAATGTTGACCCTAATAGTCGAGTTATTGTCCCTGACTTGACAAAATTCCGAATGGGACTACTAGGGACACATTTACATACAACCGTAAACATACACAATTTTCGCCGTGTTACAAAATTTCAATATTTCCACTTTAAATGTTGATCCTAATAGTCGAATTTAGCTGGGCAGAAGGCTGTTCCTTTCCAGTAAGCTATTCCGGCCAATGGCTGGGACAAAATTTAAAGCAAATCCAAAAAACCGGTGTTAGTTTATGCGGTCCTTGAGTGATTCATCTAGTATTAAACTGAACTAAGTTGGAGGTCAGAAGCTTACTGCCGGTTGTCTTAAGATAAACGTTAAGTAAATAAAAATAGGATTTTCTATGAACGTCAGTTGAGAATATTATGTAAAACTGAGATTTTTTCCTACAATTTAGTTGCAACTGAGTTTTCTTTTAAAAACTAAAGTTTAGACCAAATCTGCTAGTGCTTCCTTCATTTATAAGTTAAATAAGATTATCTATTAGTTTTAAGTTTATTATTTTTACTAATTTTCTTTTTATTATAAGTTTTCATTACATCTTAAAAAATATTTTCTATAAAAAAAATAAATTAATGAATCACATTTATTCATCACTAAAATCTTCCTCCTCACTACAATCTTCATCATCGAAATCCTCATCATCCGAATCAAAATCATCATAATCATCATCCTCATCGTCCTTAAGTTTCAGCTGTTCAATCTTTAGCAACAGCTCATCTCTTGTATGAGGAACTCTGGTTTTGGGTTTTGCCTTATCAACATTAGCCTCTCCTTCCACAGCGTTTTCTGCATTTTCGCCACCCTCCTCACCATTTTCTTCACCCTCACCTTCCAAATTCTCTTTCTGCTTCTTACCCTTGTCCATGTAACGCAAAAAGGCACGACGTTTTCTTTCGGGAAAAGATTTAATAAGTCTTTCCATTTCTACCTTAAGTTTCAATTCCTCTTCGGGTGTGGGTTGTGGCGGTTCTATCTCCACTTCTTCAGCACTCTTGAGACATTTAGCACAAACCCTTGCTTCCAGAGCACATTCACGGCAGAGAACATGATACGCCTTGCGTATCTTTTTCTGGGAACATTTTGTACAAGTTTTAGGTTGTGAGAGAGGCTTATACTTTTTGTATTTGATTTTCCATTCTATGACACCTTTACAATGTTGACACACCTCCGAAATGTGCAGGGTATTGAGACGTTTCTGTAGCGGAGTCTTGTCGTGCAGATCATTTTTGAATACGTGACGATTTTTATGTTTTTGGGCACGAGTACGTGATGCATTACCACGCTGGGTACTCATGTTTGCGGTGTGCAGGAGTTTTTCTTTAAATTATTTATAATTTAATAGAGAATTTTTAAGAAAATATTAAAAATTAAAAATTTTCTATTAAAAAACGTGTTGCTACTGCAAACAAAACAATAACAATTGATTGTCAAAGTAAATGGCTGTCAGTTCATATTCACCACAAATGTTATGGTGGGTAAAAACAGAGTTGTTATATATAGAAAAGCAAATAGGAAATTTAGCAAATTAAAAAAACAAAATAATTTTTTTTTGTTAAAATATTAATAAAGAAAAATTATATTACTCATTGTACACAGGTTCAATTTGTATGTTTTATTCATTAATACTAATAAAATCCATAAATAATATTGATTTTTTTTTTGCAAAATCTGTTAAATTGGTGTATTTAATTAGATTTTTTTTATTTTACTAAAAAAATATTTTCAGAATATTTAAAACTTATTTATTATATAAATCTGCATAGTTTTAAAACATTTTTTTTGTTTTTCAGTACCTTTATATGCTCTACATCTGTAATAACCACGTAAAACTATCCTGTATGAAGTTCTTTGCTGAAATTATACCAAAATGCGCGATCTTAAACAATGTTTACTAGATCTTTTACGATCTGGTGGTATATCTGTCGGTGATAATAATAGCAACACAAACAATCCACAAGCCATGCCTACCTCAAAAATGTCCCACAAACCAAAGAAACTTCATGAGTACACAGCAGCCGATTGTAATGCCGCCTTTCTGCGTAAATACTACGAAGTGGGTAATAGTGGTGGCGGCTTTAGTGCCCCCAACAATGGCATTATATATTTTAATGAAAATCTTACAATGACCAGTAAATATGATATGAGACAATTTCCCATGAATCGTTATCCTTCATGTCCTCTAAGTACATTTAGTAATAGTGATGATAGTGTCTCACCGCCAAGTTCAAAATCTGATAATCATAATACAACCGATGATACGGAAAGTTGTCGTTATGATGATTATTCATCGGAAGAGGATCGCACAACATTAATTGATTATTGCACGCATAATAATCCAGATAATGTGGTAGATCCAACGCATATTTGTTGTGAAGCCGATGATGCTTTATTAGATTCGTTTTGTACCTTATGCACTTCCAGTTTTAGTTATAATAAGTGTTGTCGTTATTGTGACAACTCACAATGTGGTTCGAAGTGTAATTCAGAACGCAGCTCCCATATCAGTCGTCGTAGTCAACCACCACAGAATTTACTAAACTCCACCTTACAGCGTAATAATGGTAACTTAAGGTAAGTGTTTTGATTTATTTTCTATTTATTTTGATAAACTTTTATTTGTGAAATGTCTTAAGAAAAAGTCATTGGTTTTTAATCAGAAATAGCTAGTGGTAAAAACTTTCCGGATTTGTTTTAAAAACAACAAAACAATTGTTTCTTTTTTGTATTGTATATATAAAGGTAAAATATTCTTAAAAAACAATCAACAAAATAATGATCTATTTAGGTTATTTAGGGATTTTTAAGTAGTTTTTTTTTTTTAATTTTATTTTAGTTCTAGATTTTATTTTGTTCACGTTGCAAACGATTGCCATAAGTACGTGAGACTAAATTCCAAGAATCCATAAACCGATCCATACACATGGAAATGCATTTCTGAAATGAAAAGAAATAATAAGAATTTTAATAATATTTCGAATACTTTTTAAAAAATAATAAAAATTTCGAACTACCGAACATCTCGCAAAAAAATTCTATCATGAATGATCCTTTAAAATTTAAATTTATAAAAAAATTTAATGTTCTGATATATCGAAAATACTTTAAAAATTCTAAAAAATATTTTTCGAAAGTTCTTTAAAATTAATAAAAACATCAAATCGGTTTCTAATATAATTAAAATTTATTTTCTATGAATTATCGTAACCCAGAAAAATTGTATTAGTTCCACAACTAGTTCTAGAACGCATGATTATAGCCTGTAGTCGTTCTACTTTGGCGTTGAGACCAATGATTTTTGTTCGAAATTGTCACCTTCGGAACTGGTTCTGTGGAAATTTTATGGAGTCGACACTCGTTCTACGGAACGCTTCTGGAACCAGCTCTTTCGTTAATGATTTTTGTTTGAATTTGTCACCCTCGGAACTAGTTCTAAGGAAGCTTTAGAGAACGTATACGCTTTAACTTAAAATAGTTATTTTTCCCTGCGTTTTTTGTTCGAAACTATTAAGATTAAGACCAGAATTGAGAAACTGTTGAGGAATTATTATTCTTATACCAATTTTATTATGAAAACGTACTGCATGATCATTCTGCCGCACCTACAATCTTCAGCTCACTTTCCATTCTTCCAGTACAATGCAATTAGCAATTAGGAATCTCTTTAATTCCTTATAGTCCAGTTTTATGCAGAAAAATACATATGTAAGCGTTTTCTATTTCAATAAAATAATTTTTATGAATTTTTAATTTTTTGACATTTTTTTCAACTGATTCCAAGAAGTTGTTTCGGAACTAGTATGCGTTCCATTGAACTAGTGTAGTAGCAATGTATAACTAGTTTCAAAGAACAAGTTCTTTGAAAACTATTTAGAAGTATTTAAGAACCACAACAACGTTCCGAGGAATGGGTTCCAGATGTAATGGCGACACCACTAGTTCCAAGGTTGTTGTTTAAGAATCTGAAGTGGTTCTGTTTGCACTCGTTCTAGAACTAGTTATTTTTAGAACAAGTTCTAAAATTTTTCCTGGGAATGTGACTTTTTTCGAACATTATTTCGAATTTTTTAATTAGTTCTCAGGATTTGGAGATTTATTTTATCAGATTTAAAACATTTTCGAATATAACTTCGAAATTTCGGCCTATTCAAGCTATTGAAAATTTTGTTACATATTTTAAATATTTTAAAAATGATTGTGCTTTTTTAATTAAATTTCATATTATTCTGTAACTTAAAAATGGATAGACCATTCTTGAATGATAATGTAGGTATAAGGGGAAAAAAGGAGGCAAAGGATACCTCTCAAGAAATAGTTAAGAGTCCAACTTAAGCGAAATTCGGGTTTTGAACGCAGAAAAATTTGACTTTAATCTAAATTTGACAATAGATATAAGTTCAACTTGACAATCGATTTGAAATCATTTGATTAAATTTTATTTGTTTTTAAAGCAATACTTAGCATATTATCTGGCATGAGAATCAATCGACTTTTATGAACAAATACATACAAAAAATATAAAAAAATTATATGGAACTGTTGTTAAATCAGTTTTCATAAGAATGCTTTTTACAGTGGATCAGCGTCTTTTAAAAGTAGAATTACTCTTAGATTATTTGTTTAATAAAAAGATAAAGTTGTTTTTTGAAAACATGTTTTAGGATTAAACACATAAAAAGAACAAATTATGATGGCTCGGACAAATATTATCATTCTGGACGGACACATGTCACTTATGACTACAATCAACATGACGGTGAAATTCCTTTACTTAAATTCTTTTACAATTTCTTAAAAACATCAAAAATTCTCTCCAGTATATGATATCTAACTCACCTGTTCCGAAGAATCCAATGATACGCCGGGTTTGTTAATGCACTTGTTAAAACATTTCTCAGTCATTTTCTAAAACATAAAGCAAAATAAACATTAATTTAATAGAAAAATTTTACACTTTTGATTAGGTAATTATTTGATGAGCCTCACCGTCAAGAGTTCCTGTGCATTTGCTACGGCAATTTGTTGTTTAACTTGATCCATTAATTCGCCTTTTTCATTGGCCGATAGATTTGAAATGCCCGACATTTTATTAATTTATTATTGTGGCAACGACTTTAAGATTAATTATTTATAAATAAATAAGTTTTTATTGAAAATTTTTGCACAGAAATTTTCTAATAATCTCTGAAATTTTATCAATTAGATTTTTTTTGTTCCAGTTAATTCAATAACATGTGTGTGGCGGTGTAAAAACGCCCTCATATTATGATAGATTTGTCAAAAGTGTTGAATTCGATGAATATGACAGGGTTGTATTTTGAGGTGTATTCATGGGTAAAGAAAGAAAATAACCGTTAATGTATTATTATTTTGTTTTAGCTTGAGTTGTGAGTTTTTATTTAGTTTATTACAATAATATTTTATTTTTTAATTGTTATTTTGTTTATATGGATCTTGAATTGTTGATATATCGTGTATACCTTTCATTTCTATTTTTTTTTTTTTTTTGTTTATTCACTTTCTAATCCCTCATTTAAATATTTGTTGCAATTAACACCAAAAATAGAAATGTATTTGTTAATTTTTTCAACATGTTTTCATTTAATCAACAAGTTGCATGCAAATATGTATATTTGTTTATTTTTAAATAAAAAAAAACATTTCAGGAAATGTTATTTGTTAAATATGATTTTTAAGTTTTATCTTAATAAACGAATTATTATAAGTACCATTGAAATAGGTTTATAATTGAAAAAAAAAAATTATATAAAATGTTTTGGTCAGAATCATTGAAATTAGGACCACACTTGATTTTACTTGTATTATAGTTTTCACAATCTCAGATTGAAATGGTTGGGAAAAAGCCGAACGGGGGGAAATTGCGGGTCTCAACCCTGGGTTTTATCAAGAATTTATTTAGATGGAATTTAATACGATAGCAATACTATGGCTTCCAAATTACAATGATGACCCACTTTTAATATTTCAAAACTGAATTGATACATTATTTATTAAGTTTTCAAAAAAATGCAGAAAATTTTTAATAGAAAAACACTTTCATAAAATGCGATTAACTATTTATTATCTGCTAACATTTACTTGTAAGTAATACAAATATTTGTCTTAATTTTTTTGAGGAGTTTGATTAGATTAATTGTCTAACAATTTTGTGTAAACAACAAGATATTTTTGCAAAAAGTAAACCAACTATAGACTGATTAATTATTACACAATTTTTTATCTTTTTCTCCACTAATAAACAAGTTATTTAGCGATTAAATTCGTATTATTAAAAACACTAAATCACTCAAAAACTAGTTTAGGATGATCTTAAATAGTATTAATATGTCTAATTTTCATTCATCTTATCAACAAGACGCCTTAAAAAGAAGAAATTCAATGCAAAAATGTGTAATTAAATAAATTTATTTTTATTATCACAAAATGTCATTGAAATATAAAAAGGATGTAAAGTGTATTTCAAACTAAATTCGTTACGTTTAAAGAAATTAAAAGACATTTTACTAACAAATAAATGAAAAAGACATTACACAAAAAATGAAAATAAAACAAAAAACTAATTAAAATTGTGTATAAACAAAATTTCACTTATATAACTAAGAAAAGCATTAAAAAAATAATAACATTTAACGCATTTATTTGAATTTGAATTTTCCATATATTTTCCATGCTGGCTGGCAGTAGACAAAGATCAATAATGAAATTTTTACATGATGAAATGAAATTACGCATTTAATAATTTAAACACGATTTGAAATGAAAAAAATAACAAAAATAGAAACATAACACCCGAAACTAAAAATGCTGATGAATACTTCAAAAGATTTAATGGCAGACACACAAGATGTCCACACAACATGGACATTATATTTTCCTTTTTTTTAGTTGCTCCCAACACATAGCAATTGTTTTTGTTAGGTGATATATCCATGCTTATGATGCATTATCCATCTATCTATATCCAGTCAGTCATTAGCCAATTACAAGTTTTACACACAAAACTATAGTATAAACTTTTAAAGAAGACGAAAAAATAAAAATAAAATAATTGAAAATTGCAATGAACTTGAAATTTAATACTCGTACTTTTTGCTGCATTTATGTTTTTATAATAAAAAAAAAAACGTTATTAAACAAAAAAACATTAAAACATGTTAGTGGACTTTGGCAAAATATAGAAAAAAACACACCATAAATACAGAAAAAGTGAGAGTGATTTTTCATTAAATTTTCTTTGAAAATTAATGAAAAAAACTGTGAAACAAATCTTAATTTTTTGCGTTAAAGCGTTACATGTTTAACAATTGTTAATACTTAATTTACTAAAAATTGTTTTTGGTTTATTTGCTTAAACAAGTCGTATGCGTAATGTATCATTTAGCCAACAATATTTAAGTCATGTAAATATTAAATGATTTACTACCAGTTTAAAATTTTTAAATATTAACAGATCATTTACCTGGTTTTATAATGCATACGCATATTTGTTGTTTTTTTATTTGTGAAAATTATAAAAAGGAAAGCTTTTAAAATAAACATAATTTTGTACTTTAACGAAAAGTTGCAACTACATTTTCCCGGACTACCTATTAAATCCGCATATTCTATGTTATAAATAACATATATGAGATTTATTGCCAAACTTTAATTAACCGACTTGTCGAAAAGAGGTTTTCTATTAAATTCAACTTTTAAACGAAAATTTGACTTACCAACGCTTATGCTTTTTATTTTAAAAAAATCCAAAATTTAATTTTGAAAAAGGAAAAAGTAAGAGTACTTTATTCGGTTGTGCCAGTGTGTTAAAAATACCTATTTTATTAAAAAATTCAAAAAAATATCAGTTGGAAAACAAAAAAGTATCAAAAAGTCCCCTTTAATAAATTTGAATGTTTGTACATATTAAAGAAAAGTACCTTTTGGAGAACGAAAAAGTACCAAAAGCCTCATTTTATAACTTTTCACTTACTCTGGGCTCTTCATGCTTAATTTTATGTTTCTAGGTTTAATATTATAGAAAATGTAAAAATAACCTTTTGAAGAACGAAAATGTACCAAAAAGTTCCATTTTGTAGGTTCCCATTTATTCCGGGCTTTACGTACATAATTTCTTGTTTCTAGGTTCAATATTATAGAAAATTTAAAATGGTACCTTTTGAAGACCGAAGATGTACCAAAAAGTTCCCTTTTATAGGTTCTTATTTACTATGGGCTCTACATGCAATTTCATTGTGATATCAAAATTAATTTGATATTTTTGTGATTGTGCCAGCATGCTTGTACTGTGTATGGGAAAATTTGCTCATACAAATACAATTTTTTGAGCAATAATCATAGTTTGTCTATGAATTCCAAGAGAAAACTATTCATGCTTGCGGTAAACAAAATAGGTCAGTTCTTTGTAATAGTTGTATTATTCGCAACGACCTTTACAACAGAAAATTTCTGAAAAAATAAATATTGTACAAGCATGCTGGTGTCATATATGGTTCGAGCAAGAAAGCACGGGCCCTTTTAATTAAATATTTTTGTCTAAAGGGGCCTATACACAACACCAGCATGCTGGCACAATCAAGTGATTGTGCAAGTCGATTGAACGTGTATGGGGTTGTGGTGCGATTGTGCCATCTGATTGTGTGATATCAAAATTAATTTGATATTTATGTGATTGTGCCAGCATGCTTGTACTGTGTATGGGGAAATTTGCTCATACAAATACAATTTTTTGAGTAATAATCATAGTTTGTCTATGAATTCCAAGAGAAAAATATTTTGGGGATAATTGTTTTATGCCTACGCGTCGGTTTCATGCTTGCGGTAAACAAAATAGGTCAGATCTTTGCAAATATTTGTATTATTCGCAACGACCTTTACCACACAAAATTTCTAAAAAAATGGATATTGTACAAGCATGCTGGTGTGATATATGGTCCGAACATGAAAGCTCAATCAAATTATTGTGCCAGCATGCTGGTGTTGTGCATGGGACCTTTTAATTAAATATTTTTGTCAAGCATGAACCAAAAATTTTAGTTTTCAATGAAATTATAAGAGGTTGTCTCGTACTTTTGCTCATATCTCCGTTATTTATGGACCGATTTTGCCAATTTTAAATAGGAAACTTCTCAAAAGCATGTTTGTCAGAATTGTTGAAGATTTGGGTCCCGAAACTGTCTTGGATCTTTAGAAAATTGTTTTCAAGAAACATACAGAAGGACAAACAGATGGCTGGACAAGCTTCTATCTATCTAAAGGACATCGATAATTCGACGTTTCACCGAAAATTCGACTTTATACCACAATACGAATTCACATAGAAAATTGGACATTCTATCGAAAATTCGAATTTACAGCGAAAATTTGTCTTTTCATCGAAAATGTGGCATTTCATAAAAAATTCGACTTTTCATAAAAAATTCATCTTCTTCTAAAATTTTCATTAAAAATTCGACTTATCGAAAATCGACTTTTCATTGCAAATTCAGTTTTTCAGCAATATGTCTTTAAGTCATTATCATATTCAAAATTTAACGTTTTATTAAAAATTAATTTTCATCGACTTTCCAACGAAGTTTTTCGACTTTTTTTTTTCAAAATTCCATCTTTATCTAAAATTCAACATTTCATAGAAATTCGAAAATTATACTTTTCAATTTTCATCGAAAATTTTACGATTTATGAAAAATTCTATTGTTTATCGAATACCCAATTGTAATTGAAAATTTTATTTTCCAAAAAATTGGTTTTCGTCAAAAACTCTTTCAAATTTAAGGTAACGACTCTGCGAGTGACTTTGCGGGGTCTTAAAGATGCGAATTATTCACTACTCACCACACCCATTACCACACAGCGTCTGTGGTATATGACCCTTTTTTCGATTGCTTTACTGAGGCCCTGATTAACTATAGTCTGTTATCTGTATCAAGGGTGCCTAGATGGTGCATTTTAGGTTTTTTTAACTACTACAAATTCATAATGCATCCGACTAATATTGAGCGGAAAAATTTTTAATGGTAATTTTACAAATCCAGGATGCGTCTGACTACAAAGGATCGGTTGTTTCTTTCCTTATTGATGGGATAAAATTAAAAGGTAAAGGAAGTACTCTATGAGGCTTTAAGCAACCTCAGCTTTTGAACGTAGAGGTTGCTATCAATTGATAACAACAACACCATACTAAATCCCAGGGATAAAGTAGAAAGGATGATGAAATAGGTTGAAGACAACATAGCCAAAATAT